TTGTTTTTGAGAGAGAAAGAGACAGAATGCGAGTGGGATGGGGCAGAGAGAGAGGGAGGCACAGAATCTGAAGCAGGATCCAAGCTCCAAGCTGTCAGCACGGAGCCCGACGTGGGGCTCGAACTCACGAACTGTGAGATCATGACCTGAGCTGAAGTCTGACGCTCAACCGACTGAGCCACCCAGGCGCCCCGAGAACATTTTGAGTTTCGACAAACTATTTCCTCAGCCCCTGGAAGAGCATACTTGAGACTCCCTAGGGAGCTCTGTACAGACACCTCCCTTCCAGGAGAAGACACAAAATACAACTACCAAGTGCCTGGGTGTTTTAAAATGTCTCATAACTACCACAAGGAGCGAAGGACAATCTCTTCCCGATGTGGACATGAGAAGGCTAAAGGCCTAAAGCAAAATACCATTCCAAACCCAAGTAACCTGGTGAAGACCTGTCCGGAAGGAAGCCCCTCTCAGGGCTCCTGGCAGCTGTTCCGGTTCCGATGGCAGCTGTTCCGGTTCCGAGGTCATCGGCCCAGTGGATGTTTGTGGACAAACTTAGTTAATAAGCAAAGTTACAAACATCACAAGCACGGTAAGCGGGATCTCTTGGGTTTCTTTCCTAACCCTCCCCAATCTAAAGACACAAGCAGTCTCTCGGGACGTAAATATCTTCGGTCTGTGGCCAGCTTTCAGGACAACTGGCAGGTCCCCTAATCAATGATTAAAACTTTATAGAGAAAAGAAGTATAAAGCAAGCAGCCTACTTCTAACCATGATTATACACACACATGTGTATTCACATACAGGGGTATGCTTTTATTTACTTTTTTTTTTTTTAATTTTAACTGTTGATTTATTTTTCAGAGAAAGAGAGAGAGGGCGAGTGGAGGGGAAGAGAGAGAGAGGGAGGCACAGAATCCGAAGCAGGCTCCAGGCTCCGAGCTGTCAGCACAGAGCCTGATGCGGGGCTCGAACCCACAAACTGAGATCATGACCTGAGCCGAAGCCGGAAGCCTAACCGACTGGGCCACCCAGGCGCCCCAAGTATGCTTTTAAATAATACATCTTTTTAAGTGCAATCCGACTAGATCTCCAGCAAATGTCAGAGAGTCAGAAATATTTTCAGGTTTGCTGTGTGCTTTTCCTTGGGATCATGGAAACTGTAGGAACCCCCACTCCTCTCTTCCGGGAAAGGGAGAAACTGACAAAGAAGGACAGAGAAAGCTTCTGGTTCCCATCGTTTTCAGCTTTACAGTTGTTTCTTTCTTTTTTTAAGGAACAATCTAAATATAAGAAACTATTTTCTTAAAAATGCAGACACCGGAGTCCTCTTACCAAAGACATAGCCAAAGACATCTAATTAGCCACAGAGTCAAAAAAAAAAAAAAAGTTTATTTGAGAACAAGACTGAAAGCGTTTGCACATCCGACAAGGTAGACTCATTCTGATAACAGATGCCATCCGTATTCAGCTCTACCAATATTATCACAATGGAACATATTTTTTCTAACAAAGATATGGGCATAAATCAAGGACTATGACTAAACAGCATCAAAGGAAAGGTGGGGCCCCAAATCTTATCCCACAGACTGATTCGCAACATAGGATTTCAATCAAACACTCCTAATGCAGTGGTTCGCAACCTGGCTTCTTATCAGAATCCCAGGAACTCTTTGGAAGGAAAGCCCCAAAACTAGACTGCACCCCAGTCAGAGTCTCTGGTGGGGGGAGGGCCCAGGCATCGGTAGGTCTTTAAGCTCTCCAGGTGATTCCAGTGAGCAGCCGAGGTAGAGCACCACTCAAGAGGCAGGTGACAGTTCAACAAATCGGCAAGATCCTCAGCCCGGCCGGCCCGGTGAAGAAGGGGGTCTGCCGGGCATCGCTGGCTCTCGCGGATCCTATCTTTCACTCTGCTCAAGAACTCCATACGTTACTGGCTTTGGGTGCAACTGAGAGCCTTTCCATATGCCTTAATGATCTTTAGAGCAACGTTTAATCAGGCAGATACCAGCAAAGAGAGAAAAATGGAGAATGAAAGAAATTTCCATCAGGCATGATATGAATAAATAAAATAAGTGAAAAAACAATCTCAGGTTTAAAAGTAAAGCATGAGAAGTCAACACCTGTGAAATTTTATTTATATAAAAGAATAAAAATATTTTAAAAGGATTGATTTAAACTTAGGTCTTTCAGCTTTTCCTGTTCCTTGAACATGAAACTGCTTCCAACGCAGAAAGATTTAAGATAGGTAATTATTAAATAAACACTCTTTACCTTTCCCCTGCAAAAAAAAACACAGAGCCGCGTTTCCCATCTTATTTATGGTAAACCAGATCATTCTCTGTTAAAAGTAGTGGCAACTGTGCGAAGCGGACGATCAGATATGCCAGCAGGAAGGTATGAGCTGTACAATGGCATTACAAAAAGTCCCAAAAGAAAAGAAGATGGTAAAAACAATAGAAAAATAATAAAACACAAACCAAATAGGAAAATGCCAGATATTTACAGCCTCCCTCTGAAATGTGACCTATGTTCTACTTTCGGCATAAAACAAAACCGGAGAACATGTCTCAATGGGTATCACAGACGAAGAAGCTGGTGCCAGCCAGTTTGGGGGGGGGGGGGGGGAGACACTCATTCCAAGAAGGGAAAAACGCACAGTTAGCAACTTGCTGGAATTGTAACCACGTCTTGGTCTTCTTGCTGTTCTGTTACCAAAAATGACACAAAGTAAATGATCCAATGTGGTCTTACAGAAATGACTTGTCACCACGGTTCAGAACAAACTATTCAGAGTCACAGGCACTGGGTCTGGGAAAGCAGAGGTGGGTGGCCGCACGCTCAGGTGAGGGATATTTATCTTTGTGAGGTCGGAGGAGGGAAGCAGGGCTCTATAGCCTGGAAGCTTCTGCACTAATGAGTCTTCTAATAGTCCTAAAGAGAGAAAAACAAAGTCCCAACTTACACTCAGTAGAACATCAGTTTGAACCTAGGGGGAAAAAAAAAAAAACCTCACCCATAAAGAACCCTGCTAGGGGGTTGCTCTGTAGCCAAATATTCTACTTCAAATGTAACAGACAACACTTCACATCTGAAAATGGCCTGTCTTCCAAGTCCAGAGAGGGACCGAAACATCAATGCTGCCCTTATCAGGCCCCCCGAGCTCACCAATCAGAGAAAGAAAGAAAGAAAAAAAAATCCTAGTAGTAATTCATTCTTTAATCAAAGGGACTTTTTCTTCAGGAAAAATGTGTGACCCCTTTCTCTACCCAAAATACAAAAGAAAGTAACATCTACAAATTGAAGTGTACCCAAATGGACACCCCGGCCTTCAAAATGAGAGCTGCAACCCGAGAGAGACAAGAGAGACGAGAGAGAGAGAGAGAGCGCGCGCGCTCATGCAGGAGCACTCGGGCTCTGAGGACAAACACATGGTTCTAATCATCTACAAAATCACCAGTCTCTATGAAATGGTCTGGCTGATACTTACAGCTCGTGGTTTTTTGTTTAACTTCAGATCAATCCTGTGATAGAAAAGATAAAAGATATTTGCATTTTAATTTACAGAAAAAGGGGCCAGGAATCAGCTACTGCATAGGGCACAAGCTATAACAAAGACTATTTGGTTAAGTAAAATCCACATTCTTCATTAGACTATGTCACATTTAGTTGTTTACCCAGATATTATTGAGCAAGTATTTAAAAACATAAGCAGATACTCTTGCCGCAAGGCAGACTTAGATGACAAAAAGAAATATACAGCAGTTATGAAAGCCGTATCATTTTAAAACTATTCAAAACTAGGCGTTAAAGAGATTGGATTAAGAGGGCATGCTCTACGTTAATGTGTTAGCTCTGTAACTCTATCACTGATAATCACTGAGACACATAATGATTAAGAACAGGAAAGAGACTAGGAGTTTGTATTTCTGGACAGGAAACACAAAAGAAATTAAACAAATTTCAATTTTTAAGTCTTTCCAAAGCAAAATATCAAGATCTTAAACTATTAATCTCCTTACGAAGCAAAGCCAGAAAATCAATTTAAATGTGAATTAAAAGTAAAGGTTATCTACTTTTAAAGAAATTAAAATGCATAAGAGTGAAGTTTACTTAATTTTGCTTAAGTTATTAAATAAAATGTTACCTCCATCACGTTTTTCTGTTTTTAAAAAAAACTTCCCAGCCTAACCTAATATACATACCTACAATTGAACAGATAAACTATGGGTTAGAAAGGTCTCAAAAAGGCATATCGGTCTCTACACACTAAACAACACAGCACAAATACTAATTCAAATCAAACTTACTCAAAGTCATAATCAAACATGCCAGACGGGCTGAGGGGCAGCATTTGAAAGGAAGAAAGCAATAGAAATTAATATACTAATTGAATAAATTAGTCGATTAGCCACCCTAGCAAGATTTGTAGAAACAAAATCAGCTTTCAGAATCTTAAGCGATAAAGTTTCAAACATCAAAGCACCCAAGATTTTGTGGTTGGGAGAGTCCCTTCCCTCCTGGATTTTGTATCAGAGCAGACTATGAAAGGAAAAGTTATTTCATTACTGCAGGCCCTCTATTAGCTGCCAGACTCAGAGTTAGAACTTGTAAAATATTTAATTGTCATGAAGAATATAAATAGGGCATTAGAAGAAATAGAGAAAGAAGGGTTTAGTCATACAATGAAAGGTGCTTCGAAGACAGTACTAACAATTCAGCACAATATACTTTGACCAACATAAGAGATAAAAACATCATACATTTTTAAAAAGAAAGCATTTTGCAACTTTGAACTCAAGTTCTATGTTGGAGGCATGTCTGGGGAACACGGTCCTCTTTCTACAGCATTCATCCTAGAGGCCCAGGGTCAAACGAATCACCTCAGTGCTAGGCCTGCTTTGCCCCTGAACTGGCAATGACAGCTAACTGTCCCTGTCAGGGCCAGGACTTCGAACACCCAAACCGACGGCCCCCCCTACTAAAACAAAGGAGAGCCGATCTCCCCAAGCCCCCAAGCCTCGGGGATCTGCAAGGGAACGGTGAAGGGGAGGAGGCTGTGTAGGCCATCGCTGCTAACAGACCACGGTCCGGGCAGACCTCCAAGGCAAACATGAACCCTGAGCATGACACCGGCTCCTTGGCTGCTGTAACACCTTTTACACCGTAGGTGGGTGCTGGAACTATATGCAAAATGCTGTATTTTCCTCCTAGCCCATGTTTGCAAGAATGAAGCTGGAAGAAAGCATAACTTCGGTATCCCTTATGCAACCGTGTCACTTACGGCATCTGGGAAAGGGTACACGGTGTACCAACCAGGAACTAACAACAACCTAACTCTCGGCCTAATTTAATTTTGTTCACAAATTAAAGTAGACTGTACCCACCTAATGAAAACTTCGCAAGCTACCTGGAAGAATTCTAGGGTTTTGTATATTAGTAAAGACCTGTAAGAACAGCTGTAAGTTATTATTGCAACTTTCTTCCTTACAGCCGCTGGGACTTATTGTTCAGATACCCTGTAAAATATAAGAATTCAGAACAGGGTGATCATCTGTGAATGCTAAACATTATTTGATAAATGTTCATATTCCTAAGGAGGACAAATCCAAAAGTTATTCCTTTTTGCTCAAGTTCCATATTTATTTCCACTTTGCTTTACTAAATAGGGCCTGGCACACAGTGGGTACTCAGGCATTTGCTGAAATAATTTACAACTGACTTCATCTAAATAGGTGGGGGGGTGGGTGGCACATTGCGGGGGAGATACAAGTACCGTTCGGGGTGCAAACGTTCAAATGTGTACAAACAAAAAGCACTCCAGCCCCAGCCCCGTGCCCACTAGGAGAGACATCAGTCAGGGGGCAAGGGGTCTGGACACTTCCTGACCAAAGATGGCAGAAATCTGAGAACTTTAACTGGCCACTGAGATGCCACTGCAGTGCACTGAACCTGTTTACACAGAAAAAAGGCAAATCAGCTCCACTCTGCTCCCTTGGGGCAGGTAAGCGCCTACAGCCAAAGGGAGGAGGCCCGCCAGATACCACATCAGGCGGGTGACAAAAGGCTCCAGCTTTCCAGACAGAAAATGTCATTTGTGAAAGCAATAACTAACATCGAAGATCTTTATAAATCCTACTATTTATAAAAATGGCAGGAAGAAATGCTGTTTCTATGGAAATCTACTAGTACCAGAAGCCTGCAGGAGGAAAGTTAAGTTCATGCTTAATTCCCTTTTATCGGTCAGCTGATCATGGCATTAAAAAAAGGGAAGGATTGGGGCACCAGTCGGTTAAGCATCCGACTTCGGCTCAGGTCATGATCTCACGGTTCGTGAGTTCAAGCCCCGCGTTAGGCTCTGGGCTGTTGGCTCGGAGCCTGGAGCCTGCTTTGGATTCTGTGTCTCCCTCTCTCTCTGCCCCTCCCCTGCTCATGCTCTGTCTCTCTCTGTCTCAAAAATAAATAAAACATTAAAAAAAATTTTTTTTTCAAAGGGAAGGATTACCTATAATAAACAGTAGCTATCTACTGTACCACAAATGGAAGAAACATCCAGAAACTTTCAAGGAATGTTCCCCCTACTCAGGACACTGTGAAATAGGAAAAGAGTAATTACTTTAAAATGACACTGGAGTAAATTTAATAAAAGCAACACAGAGCATGACAATTATCTTGACAATTTAAAAAAATATTTTGAGCATGGTTCGGGGGGGTGGGGGGCGGCCCGGGTGGCTCAGTCGGTTGAGCGCCTGACTCTTGATTTCTGCTCAGGTCATGATCCCAGGGACATGGGATCACACCCCGCATCAGGCTCTGCACTGAGCGTGGAGCCTGCTTAAGATTCTCACTCTCTCTCCCCCTGCCCCTTGTTCCACCCCTCCCCCACTCACGTGCTCTCTTAAACAAAAGAAAAAAAAGAGTATGGTTCCCTGCTACTGTTTGTGATCAGTTTGCATTAGTCCTACCACAGTGATTATATAGCCTATAACCTACACACAAAAAAAGATAAGCAATTTTTGCTATTTGTTACTGCAGTTACGAGATTGGCATAGTGATTTTTGGTTTGCAGGAAAGTGCTGAGCAGCAGTCTTGAGTCACCATTTGGAGGAAATACTATTTCTGCAGTCTAAAAACCACCACCACCATTGACAAGAAAAATTTTTAAAAGAATTAAAGAATCTATTGATGCCTAGGAGGCTTAAACCAGTTTAAGTTCATTCTACATTATCCCCATGTGCCATAACCACGAAGCTAACAACGTGAATGCCTTGGGTGCGTGTGAAGGAACATCCTACACGTCTGTGGAACAAGCCAGCCCAGAAGCACACTGGAGCACAGGGAGCTCCGCCCTCCTTGCCCTTCCCCTTTCCTCTCAATGTGCAGCCTCCTGGGGCGCCTGGGTGGTTCAGCCAGTTAAGCGGTCCACTTCCCTTCAGGTCATGATCCCATGAGTTCCAGCCCTGAGTCAGGCTCTGTGCTGACAGCTCAGAGCCTGGAGCTGCTTCAGATTCTGTGTCTTCCTCTCTCTCTGCTCTTCCCCTACTCGTACTCTGTCTCTGTCTCTCAAAAATAAATAAAAACATTAAATATATATACACACATACACACACATATATATGTATGTGTGTGTATATATATATACATATATACATACATATATACATACATATATGTATATACATACATATATACATACATATGTATATATACATACATATATATGTGTGTATATATGTGTATATATATATATACACACACACACACACACACATCTATCTATCTATCTACCTATCTATCTATGTATACATCCACACACACACATATATGCAGGCTCCCAAGAGGAGCAGGACAAAAGCCAGCCTGTGGATACCTGGTTTTCATGCCTCCCAGAAGAAGGTTTGAGGTCAGGGCAAGATTCTTCTAGAAACTATGCCATTACCCTCTCTGAGTACAGCTGTTTAATTTCCAATTATCTGAGTTAATAGTCCCAGGCAGAGTGAATGCTAAAATCTTCTCTGGATGACACCTGACCTCTCTGTCCACTGATGTCATACCTATCTCATTACACACTGTAAAAACAAAAGAAACCAAAAGACAACCCCCACCCCACATACACGGTGGACACACATTATCTAGAAAGGCACTCTCATATCTTACAGACTTTATACTACTCCTCTCTGATATCTGAAATCAGCATATTAGAGAGATACATAACAAATCACAAGGAATCAAAAAACTTGTATTTAAAGAGAAAAAAGGCATGTCAGATCAGCTCTCTCCATCCACAAGCGAATAGCTGTAGGCAGGGACCAGGATTAAGAGCAGAAGACTTTCTCCACTTTTCCAGCTTCCCAACATGTACTCATGGCATTTTCCAAAGACTATTACACACATTCCATGTCTACTTCCCCTTTTGCCCTTCTAAAAGGATGCCAAATTCACCGCATTAAACAAAGTTTCCATAGAATGCCATTCTTCTACACTAGAACAGTGGGAAGGATGTCTTCCTTCATGGTTACTCTAAATGCCCACCAATTCCTCCACTGGAGAAAACTTCTATTTCATTTGGATCAAAGCAATCTCTCCCCATCTGCAACACAAAGAGGGCACGAATCCCAAAGAATTCTCACTCTGGTACAGACCCTTAACAGCAATGGTCACGGAGGCTGGAGGGGCTGGGGGGGGTGGGCGGGGGGGCAGGGGGGCAGGGGCGGGCGGGGAGGGGAGGCCCCTGCCACTGACCTGTGCCGGTTTTTATTCTTTCGTTTTTTATGGCTGCTGTGATGACTCCCTGAGGAAGTAGAAGAAGCAGCCTTCTGAGGCTTCACTCCCTGCACAGATCCATCCAGATCCTCAGGGTCCTCCTGGCTGGGCTCATTTTCCTGATTGTGGAAGTCTGGAGAAGTATCACTTTCCGTCCCGCTTCCCGGCTCCCCTGGAGGGAATAAACACAGGTCCCAGAAGCAAGGTCAGCATTCCTCAGGCAGTCTGTCCGGCAGCCAGGAGAGATGTCTCGGAGCACTAATACACAGAAAAAGAGACTATTTCCTATCCTCAAGGACCAGGCAATTTACCTGACAGGAAAATACTTGCAGACAGAGAAGGTATGTACCCTCAAGGCATCAGAGTTACCAGTGTTCCTGAACTAGAAGTCCTCTGAGACACCGTAACCAAAAGCAGCCTTTCTAAGCACTGCTGGGAGATGGGACCATACAACCAGGAGTTATTTAAACACAGAATCCACGAATGGGATTAATAATTATACAAGAAGCCTGGGTTCCTTCCCCAAACTGTACAGAAATCCTGTCTATCAAGAAAGGGGGCTTGGGATGCCTGGGCGGCTCAGCCGGTTAGGCCTCTGACTCTTGGTTTCAGCTCAGGTCATGATCTCATCAGGTTCTGGTATCAGGCTCCGCGCTGACAGTGCAGAGCCTGCTGAGGATTCTTTCTCCCTCCCTCCCTCTCCCTCCCCAGCTACGTCTCTCTCTCAAAATAAATAACTTAATAAATAAATAAATAAAGTGGTAATATTCTTCAGCTGACACATATTCCCAATTTTAAAACATCCTTTATATATTAAATAAAAAATTAAAAAACATTCTGCATAAACAAATGCTCTTTAAAACATTTATTTATTTATTTATTTATTTATTTATTTATTTATTTAGAGAGACCGCGCGCACACACACATGCAACAGAGAGAGAGGGAGTGAGAAATCCCAAGCAGGCTCCATGCTGTCAGCACAGAGCCCAATATAGGGCTCGAACTGA